ATTTATTTTTTTTTTTTTTTTTTTTTTTTTGCAACGCATAACAAAACCTTAAAAATAATGAGTGATCTTTGTACTTTAATTGTAACAATAAACACAATTACAATATTCGACTGTACACTTAGATATTTAGATTATCGTCGAATTCGTTTTCATTGTTGTTATCAAGCAAATCAAAAAAATTTTTTTTTTTTTTTTTTTTTTTCATTTGAAAAACCTTTCTTTTTTTAATCTGAAAAAAGTTTTCATCAAAGTCGATCCCGATGATTTTAATTCCTGATTGTAGAAATGACGGGGACGATTACGTTTGTTAAATGCATAACTTTAAACAAAAAATTCTGGTCGAATCTTCATCCATCCTTTTCGGAAAAATGTTTTACTTGGAAGAAAAATCTGGTACATCCTGGGTTGAAATCCCTCACATGATTTTCCGAGTTTCACTTCATGCGGATAATCAACCATCTCACATGACGATTTGTCTCTCTTTTTTTTATTAAAAAAAAAAAAAAATCCTTTAATAAAGAGGGGAAAAAAAAATAATGTTTGCCAATAAATTGTATTTCAATTCTACATTAACGGGTCTTTCCAAGGGGATCACAACGCGTAATTTACATGTTCTCAATGTAATTAATCATTATTTACAGAGACCGACGTTTTCCCTCGTATCGATTCAGAAACTTTCATTATCGTCACCCAAATTATCATGTTCGATCGGTAAACCTAACCAAATCCAAAGTAGGACGTACTCCAAAAAACCGGTCGCCGTATCAATGTCAATACCAGTACAAAGAACGGAACCCGCGGAATTAGCACAGGGTAGATTTAAAACTTATAAACCAAGCACTCCAAGTTTACGTTGGTTAAAAAGGCCTGTGAATGATCATTTATGGAAGGGTAAACCGATACGTAAGCTTACCCTGGCCAAAAAGCAACAATCCGGTAGAAATCATCATGGTCACATTACGGTTAGACATCGTGGTGGAGGTCACAAGAGACGTGTTCGTGTGATCGATTTTCATAGATGGGATCCCGAACCGCATGTAGTCGTTCGTATCGAATATGATCCCAATCGTTCCGGTCATTTGGCCTTATTACAAAATACCATAAACGGAAAATATTCTTACATCATCGCACCACATGATCTTCAACCCGGAACTATCGTTCGATCATTTCGTAAATCACAAGAGGGTCAGGTAGAAGAAATCAATGAAGATTCATTGATCACAAAGGTTGTGGCCGTTGAGAAAGGAAATTGCATACCATTGAAATTGATTCCAGTTGGTACTACGATATGTTGTATAGGGTTAAAACCGGATGGTCCTGCGATCTTGTGTCGTTCGGCTGGAGTTTCGGCTCAACTGGTACGCACGGGGGAGAAAGGTTATGCTCAAGTGAGGTTGAAAAGTGGGGAAGTTCGTTTGATCCACGTGGATTGTTGTGCGACGATTGGAACCATTTCAAATCCCGATCATCAACATGCCACCTTGGGTAAGGCAGGTAGAAGCAGATGGTTGGGTATAAGACCAACCGTTCGAGGTGTCGCCATGAATTCGGTTGATCATCCTCATGGTGGTGGAAGGGGTAAAAGTAAAGGAAATAGGCATCCCGTGAGTCCTTGGAATGTACTGGCCAAAGGTGGTAAAACTAGGAAGAGGCCGAATAAGTGGGTAGTTAAACCTAGAGAGAGAAGATAAAATTTATATATTTGTGTATTTTTTTTTTTAAAAAAAACAAAACCCAAACCAAAAAAGAAAAACAAATTTCAATTATGCAAAACAAAAAAATATAAAGAAATTTATATTTTATTTAATAATATTATCTTTCGAATTAAATTGTCGAGTGACGTTTAAAAATTTATGAGAATTATTACATTAAATTATACTCTTATATTATTATATTCCGTAATTTTTAATATTTATAGAATACAAAACTCTGTACAACTTTTATAATTTGATAGGTTCAATAAATAAATAATTAATTAATAAAAATGCAAATAGCAAAAAGTATTAAAAGTATTAAAAGTCTGTATTAGTGTGAAAAAAAAAAAATTTCTATAAAGTTGTGAATAATGTCTTTTATTGTTCTAATCAAAAGCAGTTAATCAAGCTGCGAACCAAGATGATAGACAAGAACCCCCCACAAAATCTGTCAATAAAAGAAGGAAATGAATTAATAAAACGTAAACGCGAATAAACATGAAAAAAATTCAAAGCAGGATCAAAAAAGGGGTTTTTTGTATTTTTTTTACCAAATGTCTTCTCTGGATTACAATGGCATTTACCCTCTTCGTGAACATTTTTCTCAATAGGACAATGTTCAAATGGAGGGTGTCGATACGATATATCGTTAAAAAAATGTATTTGTGATTTTTCTAAGAATAATGCAAGTGCAATTGAATGAACTGGAGCATCTCCCCATCTAAAAAGAGATGAAAGTAAAATAAAAAAAAAAAATTTTAATGATAAAGCGTCAAATTAAAAAAAAAAAAAAAAAATGAAAAGTTTTTATATACCTTTCATAGAAAAACCCTCCAGCTTTATCTAAGTACTCGAAAAATTTAATATATCTTTCACTTCTCCAAAAATTTAAATCAGCGATTTCAAAATTACTCCAAAAGTGGCACCTGATAATGGAAAACATTAAACATCAAATGTAATAAACATCAACTTATCTCTAAAACGAATCACTTACATATTATAAGAATTTCCCGAGTTTGATATGAAATTCATCACATTATTTTTATTTATATATTCCGGATATTCTTTCATGAACTCCCTCACAGTATCCCATAGGGTAGGAATGGTCTCTTCTAATTCCAAGAGTGAAATCGTAAAGCCGTACGTTATATTGTTCTTTTTGATAAATTTGAATACGTCATAATCTATATCACACATAAATTCAACTCCAGGTTCTAATCTCCAATAATAATCATATTGTTCTAATAGTTCATGACGAAAAAAGAATCCAGAATTAAACCGGCACATATGACGATAAGATTCCGAGCCACCGTACAACACATTATTTTCTTGCATCTTTTGACGAGCATCGCTTGCTTTAGTTTGATTTATCCATTTTGGATAACTCCACATTTCATTTGGTATTATCCCTTTTTTAAAAATAAATAAATGTTTGAATTTACGTATTGTTTACAATAACAAATAAAAAGTTATGCATGTAGGTACATGATATTTCCTAATATAATACATACCATATTTTGTTTCAGCGGTTGTAATAGCAGTCGTCGCTCGAATGAAGGCTTTGGTGAATTTTTTATCGTTTAGGAATACATAAGGGTATTGAAATTTTTTATTAAATCGGTCTTCAAACTGTCTCATAGAAGACAGTAAACTCGGCAATTCTTCATTCCTAACGAGCACGACTATTACAGCGTTCTCTCTCGTCATATTTTTCTCAGCTTTGACGTCGTAAAATATACTGCGATCCTTTGTAGGGTTAACATACTCTTTTTCAAAAAATAGTTGTCGGTTTGATTTGAATAGCGTAATATCAAATAGCGATATAAAGAAAGCGAGTGACACTACAGACGATATTATGGTTAAAACAATCAAGAAGATATATTGAAAATAAAGAGAGCGTTTGGAAGGTTTTTTTATTATAACCATGTTGAAAATATTCATCTGAAGGGGTATTGTTGGTAGTATTTCAAATACTACAGTAAGTTAGTATCCGTACAAATATTACGTCGAAGTCAGTCCAAATCCTTGATAGCAAAAACTTTACGCCAAGTAATCGATAAGCCTTTAACATCCATATTCCTCAAAAAATCATATTAAGCGGCTTGTACCAGATTATTTCTTTTTATGAATGTTTCAATGTTACTCTACTGTTAGAATAAGAAATTTATTGAGGATTGATTTTCATTTGTGTAACGTAGGAGATAATCTTGCATCAAAACACGTTTTACATCCGGACATTTTGTGACCAATCACGTATCGACTTCATCTTTTCAAACCATAATTATGTAATCTATTATTCATTTTAAATGAATTTTTAAAATTTTATAATAAAAAGGTTAATTATTAGCAAATGTGTGAAATCCCATAGTCGGCTAAAAAGATGATCACCACTAAAATTAGACGATTGTGTATAAAATTGACTTCGTTATGTTATGAGGAGAAAGAAAAGGACGTTTCTTCCTTTTGTTTCGGACTATAAAAATAAAGGCATAACAATTATATACACTTAGAATAAAATAGTAATGGAATAGAATTTACCATTCTTTACTGGATCAGCGACAATTGTGTTATCAAACGTGACGGAGGATCAAAATAGAAATACAAGGCGTTTATTGACAAATAAACATTAAATAAAATTTGTTTAAAATCTATAAAATCTATTAGATTTTCTGTCCTCTTGGCGCTTCTTTTAATCTTTACCTAGATATTGTAATTAATTTTTTCTTTTCCTTGTTCTTTGTAATGCTACTACTAAATTATTAATTATCGAGTTTAATATCGATCCAAAGACCTGTCTCTAAAATTGATTTAAAGATCTAAATTCAAACTCAAAAATCGCTTAAAGATTGATGGATCGGATCAGTAAACAACCCTATTACAGTTTTAAAACGGTTAAGTCGGAAATCATCTCTTGCCTGTCATATTCATGGATCTTTTTTTTGACATGTTTGATTCAATCGGACCAAATTTCCCTAATTCTGGGTCGAATCTAAATTGAAATTCGGTTAAGCATTTTAGGAAGCGGCGCCAAATTTTAATTGGTAATCACATAAAGTCGAGAAAAAAATAGTATTTAAGGTATAAAGGCGAACAATCTTAATATCAAAACTTTTTTATTGTTTCGAATATAAAGATTTTCATGAGCTGGTTTTCATTATCGACCAAGGCGCAATTTAGCCACCGGTTTTTCAAGGGATCGACTATCCCTTCATTAGAAATAGATGTACCTTATCAAAAAAACAATAAAAAATTCGTTTTTTTTTGATCCATAAAAATAAAAAAAAAATTTTTTCTTTTATTGCCATAATGTCAAACGGATTGAATCAAATTTTTCAAAACTGTCGCGAACAAAGTATATACAATCTTTTTAAACGTAAATGATGAAAAATTGAATGAAATTCCGATAGTTTTTTTTTTTTTTCTTTCCTCTTTTTTAGAACGACCAGTTTTTATCGCTTTTATAACAGCCGGATATCCAGAACCGGAAGAAACCGTTGATTTGTTACTGGGACTTGAAGCTGGTGGTGCAGATATCATTGAATTGGGTAATTAAATTAAAAAAATGATCGTTTTTTTTTATTTTTATAAAAACTTTTTACCTATAAAAAAAAAAATTATCCAATGAATGCAAAGGCATCCCGTTCACTGATCCTTTGGCCGATGGTCCGACAATTCAAGAATCCAATAATGTAATTGATTCAACGGAAAATTTCCCAATTTTTTTTTTTTTTTAAAAATCGACTTTTCAACCGATCTAATCGTTAATTTTCAAACTATGTGACAGGTAGCGCTTCAACATGATATAGACATTACAAAATGTTTGTCGTATGTATCCGAAGCAAGAGCTAAAGGACTCAAAGTTCCTGTAGTGTTCATGGGATATTATAATCCAATTCTTGCTTATGGCGAAGAAAAAATTGTTGATGAATGTAAAAAAGTCGGTGTTAATGGATATATTGTAGTTGATTTGCCTCCCGAAGAATGTGAAAAGTTTAGGTCCATTTGTAATGAAAAAGGGTAAAATTCCATGTATTATCTTTTTATTTACTTTGATGGATCCCAATTTAACCTCGTTCATCCTGTCGCACAGTTTAAGTTATATCCCTCTAATTGCTCCTTCGACTTCCGAAGCGCGTATACGTCATCTTGCACGCGTTGCCGATACTTTTATCTACGTGGTATCAAGAATGGGAGTAACGGGTTCAAGAGATACTATCAATGCGGAATTACCAAACATAATTTCGAAAATTCGTAAACATACAAAATTACCCCTTGCTGTTGGTTTTGGTGTTACCACGAGAGAACACTTTAAAGCTGTCGGTTCATACGTTGATGGTGTTGTAATTGGTAGTAAGATCGTCAACGTCTTAAAATCAGCACGTATGTATATATTTTACGATCTATTGTGATATGTTCACAAGATCATATGATCTGATCCAATCGCGATTTTTTACGTGTCTAGCTAAAGGTAAAAGAATCGAGGCCATAAAATCATACGCGTTGGAAGTTTGCGGTAGAGCGGCTGAAGATGTCAAGGAGGAAAATGCCAAAGTGGTCAAATTATATGGTACCCAAGATAATGGTCAAAGTATCGAGCTTGTGGATGTTAATGTAATCTTTATAATCATTTTTCACTTTTTTTTTTTTTTTGATCTAAACTACATCGAAGAGTATTATTCATTTAAAGTTGAAATTTACCTTTAGGATTCTTGGAATAATACACTGGAACCTCGATTTGGTGATTTTGGGGGTCAATACGTCCCCGAAGCTTTGGTTGATTGTTTAGTCCAACTTGAAAAAGTAACTTTCGTGTTAAAATATATATATATATATATATTATTATTATTATCCGAGTTTTAAAACAGTTTTTTTTTTTTATCATGTCAGATTTTTACGGAAGCAAAAGATGATCCAGAATTTTGGAAAGAATTTCGATCATTTTATGATTATATGGGTAGAGAATCACAATTACAATTCGCGGATAGGTTAACAGAAAACGCTGGAGGTGCAAGAATTTGGTTAAAAAGGGAGGATTTAAATCATACAGGATCACACAAGATTAATAACGCCATAGGACAAGCATTATTAGCAAAACGTATTGGCAAAAAAAGAATTATTGCAGAGACCGGAGCTGGACAACACGGCGTTGCCACTGCTACTGTTTGTGCTAAATTCGGATTAGAATGTGTTATCTACATGGGAGCCGAAGACGTTAGAAGGCAAGCCTTGAACGTTTTTAGAATGCAATTGTTGGGAGCTAAAGTTATTTCGGTGGAATCGGGAAGCAAAACATTAAAAGATGCCATTAATGAAGCCATGAGAGATTGGGTAACTACTGTTCAGGATACGCATTATTTGGTTGGTTCAGCGATTGGACCCCATCCATTCCCAACATTGGTAAGAGAATTCCAATCTGTGATTGGAAGGGAATCAAGGGAACAAATGATAAAAAAAGCCGGTAAATTACCAGATGTGGTTGTTGCTTGTGTTGGTGGTGGAAGTAATGCTATTGGAATGTTTCATCCATTTATCGAGGATGAAAGCGTAAAATTTGTAGGGGTTGAAGCCGGTGGCGATGGTAATTATTACGACTTTTGTCATTTCCTCCCAAATATTTTATGATATATATATATATATTCGTATTTTATTATGATTCATCAATTTTAACTTAGGAGCGGAGACTGAATTTCACTCGGCAACCTTATCGGTAGGTACGCCTGGAGTGTTTCATGGAACGCGTACTTATTTATTACAAGATAAGAAAGGACAAATCAAAGCTACGCATAGTATTAGCGCGGGATTAGATTATCCTGGTGTAGGACCTGAACATGCGTGGCTCAAAGACACGGGTCGCGCAAGTTACGTTGCTGTTACGGATAAAGATGCTTTAATTGGATTTAAGAAAATGTCCGAATTGGAAGGGATCATACCAGGTATGTTTGTTTACCTTGAAGAAATCTTGATGTAAACGAATTCTAATTTTTTTTTGCTTTTGATATATATAGCTCTTGAGACGAGTCACGCTATTTTTTATATTCTAAAGCTTGCTTCTACGATGAACAAAGACCAAGATATTCTATTATGTCTTAGTGGTCGTGGTGATAAAGATGTTGTGTCTGTAGCCGAAGCTTTACCTAAATATGGTCCTCAAATTGGATGGGATCTCAGATTTGAATCTTATAATTAATTTATTTAAATTTTTTATCCTCGTTTAAAGGGGGGTCTAATTAAAAATAATTTTAATAAACCAATGATATGACGTGAATAAAAAATAAATAAATAAACGATATTTATTATTATTCAAATTTTTTTATTTAAAAATCTCATTTAAAAAATTTAAATTCTAAATAATTGGATTAGATGCACTGCTCATTATCTAAATGTGAATTTATAAATAAAAATTATATCGATAAATTAAATTATATATTTTAATTTTTACACGACATTATATTCTTCGGCTGTCAGAATTTTTTCTTTGGAATAAGTCACAGGTGCACCTGTCTCAATGAGAGTCACCTCCAAAACCTAAACGATATAAAAATATAAATCAAGCATTGTTTTTTTTTTTAAAAGAAATGAACCAAATTATGTTACTTACATCTATATCACAGAAAGTTTTTTCACTAACAAATGACACTCCGACAGGGAAAAATGCGTTAACATCGTCACCCGCAATACTGAATTCCAGAGAGCCTTGCTTATTAGAAGCGTCAATAATGGCTAATTGCCAATCTAAACTTCTTGTTTGACGATTTACTTCATAATGACCATCCACTTCACCAACAGTAGGATTTCCTCCAGGACTTTAAAAAAAAAATACGAAGAAAAGCAAAAAAGCCATGTTACAAATATGAAGCTTTGTAAATTTAACGACGTGCGTTATTTACTTACGGCAAAGGAATAGTGATCAATACGTCTTTGAACTCTTGTTCATCGTTCTCTAATTCATATTCAATATTAACATCAAATGTTCCATCCCCAGATGGGGAAGGCCAACAATTTACTAAAAGAAATAAATACGAATAAATTAGTCGTATGCACGAGAAAGTCAAAAGAAAACGAAAATTGAAAATTAAATATACTTGATAATGGGATCACAGTCTCATCTTTAGTGATATAACGCCATCTTAATACACCCAATGGTTGATTAACAGGAAAACCTTTGGCGGGGTTTTTCAATGAAATAATACTATCACTTGAAAATAATTTCTTATCAACGTTGGGATGAGTCTGTCAACGATATCATTATTAGTCATAGTATTCATGCATTATCAAGATAAACTATAAATCCGTAAAAAATAATCACCTTTAATTGCACAGTACCATCATCAACAGCACGAACAGATATTTTGATTTTTGTTAAGTCTGGATCAGAAACGGTTAGTTCCAAGTCACCCTTAACTTCTAAATTTTCCAAACCCCCATCTCGGTTAGCTTGTAAAGAAATCTTTTCCATAATTGCAAGGTGTACACTAAAATTAAATCATTAAAATAACGCATTAAATTATAATACAAAACATTTAATAATGAAAATAATTTATAAAAAAAAGGATAATTAAACCTTTCCACTTGAACTTTTGAAATAGAAGTCATTCTATTGGGCTTTTCAATAGTTTCTTCAAAACCAACTTCATTTTTAACGGCTTCGAATAGATCGGAACCCTTCTGTTTACGTCCAAGCTGCATACCCTTGGCTTTAGATGATGACGGAGTAGGCGAACTATGTCGAAAATTCATGTGCGCTTATATTAATTTTCTGTTTTTTTTTTTTTTTTTTTTTTAAAAAAAAAAAAAAAGGGTATCTGTCCGATATATATATCACACCTACTAAACGATGAACGGATATTTTCTTCGAAAGTCGTTTGAACTTGCGGTTCATTATATGAAGAAGGTTTACTGATTGATTGAGCAAAGTTACTTCCAAAAGAAGTACCGCTCAATGCACCGCCACCGCGCTTGAGCATTTCTTTTTTTTGCATTTCTAATTGTTTAGCTCTCCTCTTGAGCTCCTCTTTGGCTTCTTGTTCTTTATTCTAATAAATAATAATGAGGAATAAATCAATTTAACCTTACGATTATTAAAAATTTTTAAATCCATGTAAAAGATGAACCCACTTTTGCTATTATTTCTTGAATCTTTTCTTCATGACTTTCCATTTCTGTGATGCTCTTGACCTGTGCCAAGTTTACATTTTCTCGATAACCTAATGAAACAATTTCATCAAAAGCACTCAAAAGTTCAAAACTATTTTTCAAAATCTCTCTTTCGTCATTGGATCGACAAACATCCGATACCACACGAGCAAATAGATGTAGAGTGTCAATATCTTGCAAGATATTAGATTGGCGATTGGTAATAAGAACCATGTATAATTCATCAAGGGGTTGATAGACGTAACGGACATGTTCAGTTTCAATTGTAGTATGCTGCTGTCCAGTACTCGTCAATTTTGGAAATGAGACAAGAAGGCCCTCAATTCTAGCGCGTGGCATTTCGCGAAATTGCCGGGAAATCACAGCTATAGAATGTTTCAACGAATTAGAAATGATCTAGCGGATTCACTTACAATTTTTTATCAAAGGACTTCATGGCAAAAATGGGAAGGACGAATGGATATGAAAACATGAATTTCTACCTTTTCCGCCTTTTGTACATATCGAAGCTGCCAAAACAACCTACATTACATTTGGCAGTTAAGAATCAAACGTCTTTACATCAAGATCTAGTCTTTTGATATGAGAAGCAAAAACGAATAGTAAAAAAACAGACCATTGTTTTAAATTTAAAGGGGAAATAAATAAATCTTCAATCTACAAACTTGTCAATTGAATGCCCAGTTTTTTTAGTTGAATCGTTGAATCACCCTTTTTTTTTTTTTATGCATGTCGTGAAATTCGATTTCATTGGTTTGATGATCATCAAATGTTATTGATAAATAATTGGTCGGTCAAATCAATCGCGATATTTCTCGTTTCATTATGGAAAATTTTATTTCGCCTCCACCTATGCCACCCCTTCCACCGCCACCAACACCTCCAGATCCTCAAATAAATGCCTCATCGTCATCTATCACAAATTTAACCCATAGTCCTAGCGCTAATATTCCCGATGAAGAAACAACCAAACTTACCGAAACTCAAAAAATGCTAAAACAGCTTTTCCAAGATCCTTTACTTTCCGATTTAACTAAATACATTAATGACGATAAAAGTAGCCAAACATTACTCAATAAGAGCACGAATAAGAATGTCTCTAATACAATAGATGACAGTTCTTTGACTGCTGCGATAAATTCATTAACACTCGAACAAGTCGATACACTTATTGCGTTAGAACTAGGTACCGCTTTTGAAATTACCATTCAAAGAGGTGGGCTTGAGCCTTTAAGTAAGTGTTTAAAAGATATTTTTATAAATTGAATCTATTGATTTGATTAATTTATAGATATATATATATTTTTTTTTTTAACAGAAATGGTAGTTCGACAAAATGCTACAATTGCAGATATAAAAAATTTAATTGTTTTACAGATATCAAGAGATATTAAAGAAGCAAATAAAAAAAAAGGCAGAAAGAATAGGAAGATTAGTTGGTATATACAATTTATTAATTTTTAAGAATTATTTAATTATTCCCATTCATTTTTTTTTTATTTTTTAGGAAATATATATGGAAAACTTATTGCCTTATGTTTGAAGGACAAAAATTGTTGGAAGATAAAGCTAGAATTCAAGAGATTGGTATTCGTAGTGGGAGCGTTTTAAAGTTCTCAAGATACAACAGTAAAATTAAGAAAGAAAAAAATAGAACAGAACGCGAAAAATATTAGTTTATTTATGGACTCTTTCATACGAAGAAACTTAAGTTACATGATTATTATTTTTTTTTTTATCAAACATTGATGGCATTTATCACATAATTTTGCGATTTCTCTTGACGACAACTGCGGATCATTTAATATCTTACCTGATGAGTATTATATTATCTGAATAACACCGTATCATTTGAATTTCAAAGAAATTCTATAATATTTGTCGCTTTTGAGTTTGAAAAATCGTTGTCTTCTGATAAATAATCAATTATTGAAATGATTCACTCCGAAATCTCGTCGACTTCAGAATTTTTTTTCATCGCACCTACTCATTTCACTAACGCGGTAGAGTCCATAAATTATTGTGAAGGTTGGTTTATTGAAGCAGGATATTTCAGGCTTCATTGATAACTCATTTTGTTTACGAATTGATAGGATATACATTTATGTAAATGTTTATTTGCATATTCTGGATAAAAATTATGGTCAATATAGGTAAAATAATTATTTATTTATTTATAAATGGTCTATTTTAAAAGGAATAATATTTTATATATAACATTATATTTAGTTATCTTTTCAAGGTCAAAGATACTTATCGCACAGAAGCTACGGTTACTCGCTTTATTGTAATAGGATATTAAACTGTAGAATAAAATTATGTAATAAAATAAATATTAACGTTCGGTTAACGTTAAGCGGTCCTGTAAAAAATATACAAAATTGGCAATTATTATGGGACCGCTAAGTATGGGACCCGGTCCTAAATCCTAAAATTTTAAACTTGAAGAAATTTCATTAAAAACTATAATAGATAAGTTTAATAATAAATTTGTTCTTGGGACTTTTAGGACCGTTTAACATCCCTATACCAAACCTTTATCAACCTTTTTATTAAACTTCATTGAACAACTATATTACGACTGTTGTAACAAAAATTTTCATTACAAAACAGAAATTGATTGATTATAAGGCAAAGATGTACTTTGTAATATTCAAAACCAAATTCGAGCAATACAGTAAGAATTAATAAAGATACAAAAGGGAGATATGAGGATAAGCTAACTACGAGACCAATTTTATTATAACAAAATAGGTGCGATGCATGTGATGATCATCAATTTTATTTTTATTGGTTGCCGCATATCTTGTGGAATACAAATGTGTTTTTTATCTATTAGTGCCGATATAAATTAATAAAAAAAAATTTTTATAGTTTTAAAAATGACAACAATCGAAGAAAAATTGGAAAAGGCAGAAGGGTGGTATGAAGAGGCGAAGAAGAATTTGGCGGATTCGGAGAAGGGAGATTACAAAGGGGGTGAAATTAAACGAGTTGCAGGAGAAGTTGAGCAATAAAAAATGGGATGAACAGAAGGATGGATGGAGAGATAGGTTGATCGAAGAAAAAAAGGGGTTGAAGAAGGAAAAAAAAGACTGGAGAAACCAGGTGGTGGAGTTGCAGAGGGCGCTAATTGAATTTGGAAAAGAAAAAGGTAATGAACAAATTTGCGTAAAAAAAAAATATACAAATATACAAAAAATTATTTTCATTCATTGTTCATTTCTCCATTTAAGAGAGTGTTTAGTATATAATGTTCACAACTCTAACTAAATTGTGATTTTTTATTGTAAATTTAATAGGAAAACGTATGGCAGAAGAAGAGCGTGTTGATGGTATTGAAAGAGGAAAAAAGTTGACTACGGCTCCATCCAGTCTTGGAAAAGCATCAGACTACATCGAAGTGCAAACGCAAAACTGTTTTATAATGGCTATTCACAATCACTCTAACCTCCTCCACTTGTGTTTATCAGCATCACATCTTATAATTGCTGGTGCTTTTTATAATGGAGACTATTTAATTGAAGGTCTAACAGAAATTTCATTAGACTGTTTTGAATCTACGAACACAAATAATTGGAAGGATGTTGCTTGCTCTTAAAAAAGCTGTTCAGTCATTAAAAGATTATGTTAAAGTTTATTAGATCTATATAATGAATAGTAGTTGTTCATAGAAGTTGAAGAGGTGTTAAATGAAGTTCATGAATGTTTACAACGACTTGATTTATCTTGTATAGAATCAGATGATCCAATAGCATCTGGAATTCTAGACATTTCTGAAGGGGTGGATAAAGTGATAGATAATTTATCAATAGAAACAAAGCAAATTCTTGCAGATTTTAAAATAAATGATCTAGAATTATTCGAGGTGAATATCAAATTGTTAATATATATAACCTAATTTGATATAGCTCTTGTTAAATCTATTTCATTTTTACAAAATGAAAATAATTTAGATAAATATAGAATATTATTAATAATATTTGACCTATTAGAAGGATTAAGTGTGAATATTTTAGCTAAATATCATTAAATTCTTTTGGAAAAATTAATTAATTAAGCTTAAAAACTTAAATTGTTAGAGTTTAAAATCTTTGTTAAATAAAAGCAAGTATAATGAAAATTCTTATGCAATTCATGTAGTCTTTAAAGTAATAGATCCAATATTTAATTATTATAAATGGAATCTTAAACATGTATGATATGTAGTTTTGAAAATTTAGTTTTATTATTTCTTTAATATTCTTATAATAATATATCTTATTTTATCATTTTTAGAGAAAAAGTATCTAATTCATCATAAAATAAAAAAGAGTCAATACATTCTATTCATTTAGAAAATAGGTCTGATTTGCAAGTTATTCTAATGCTTGATTCTGATGAGTATGAATTAATATTTACAGGGATTTCATAATTAGTTTTTCGTTCAAATAAACAGAATTATGATTGGAAAAAATTAAATCATTTATGTAAAGATAGATTTGACACAAAAATAAGTGAATTATTTAAAGAAAAAATGTTGAAACTAATGAAACAAAATGTTTAATAAATGAACTTTTTCAAATATTTTTTATAGGAGTTCAAGTAATAAGTAATTAAATATTAGTTTTTAAAATCGACTTTTTAATAATTCTTTCTTTAGATCTTTTAAAATTTTTAAATACAATCATTCCCTTTATAGTCACCTCCTATATAGTCACTCCTCTCCTTGAGTCACACCAAGACTCATTCCCGATTTTTAAATAATAAAATACCCCCTTTTTAGTCACTATATCATTATAAGCACAATCACACCAATTGTCAGTCCCAGTATCATAGTAAATATAAGAAAAATACCCTTTGTATAATCACAGGTAAATCATGTGATTTAGTATTAATATG